GTTTGGGGTTCTAGTACTTAGGGTTTGGGGGTCTAGGGGGGAAATATTCCTGGTAAGAGCAATCTTGACAACAATAGTAAGCGCAGCAAGAAAGCACTGACCCTAAACCCTAAACCGAATAGCAAGTGATACGGTTGATGATCTAAATCCTGCATTACCTTAATGACCCTAAAGTATGGGAATTCTGGTACAGTCCTTATTATGGGTAATGCAGGATTTATATCATCAACCGTAACAGGCTCGGTGCCTCAAGCCTCGAAGCCGAACTCTCAAGTTCGGAATTCCGAAAGGCCGCAGACGATAGTTGATGGACCGTTTTCGTGTGTCTTTGAGCGTCGTGACAACTTGTTGCATGTCTTGAAGCTTCTGAAGCATATGTTAACGTTCTGCTAAAGCATTGCGACCTTCGCAGCACATTCAATTGTTTCTTGGGACATCTCGAACCGTCTTTGTACATGTTTCCAAATCTTCGAAAGCGTCTTACACGTCTCTGAGCATCCGTAAATGCTTACACTCGCGTCTCACATCTCTGCGAAAGTCGCTACGTGTGGAGACTGCTTTGTGATTCTTGGTGTGTCCCTTGTCTGTCTTTACGTGACTTTCCCGTGTCTTTGGGTGCCTGTGTTTGTTTTGTCCTCCGGTCGAGTCAGGACCCTGGGCCCCGAATCCTGAGGATCCAAGGTGCCGGAAACTATCGTTATAAGGTGTGTGTGAGACACCCAGATACGGTTTCCTCCAGATAGTTCCTGTTGTGAACCCTAAACCCTAAACTCTAAACGATCATCCTGAACCCCCCAGATTCCTCCTCGCGGTCGCTGAGGTGATGAGCGAGTCTCGATGCTACACCTGCAGGAGGGACATCGTCACGTTCGGTTGACATGCATAGGCCCTAGGCCCTAACCACTAAACCCACAGTATGTCGGCTGACATGCAGCAGATCCGTGTGTCCAGGTAAAGGGAAAGCCAGGTGTGGAGATCTTGTGTCCATGCCAGGAGGGAGGCTCCGTTTTTTGGCGTCCACCACCTACGACGATGACGATTTCTGACCTGGGGCGGCGTTTAGGTGCACGCCGTGGTCGGTACTGGACCAAGACCGGTCCCGATGCGATATCTCTCCCGGAGATCGGGGTGTGTGAAGATGTAACCTAGTAGTGCACGCAGCCCGCCCCCTAAAGCCTAAACCCTAAACCTATAAGGTTGCTACGGCCGGTGCTGATTTCTCTAGGGCTTCAATGGCTGTGCCAGGAGAACCATCAGCTTCACATCCTGTCCGATGTTGGGCAGCTTAGACACATTCGGATCGTGGCCGACACTGGGGAAGTCTGCGTGGAGATGTCTGGGCAGGTCGTACTCAACCCAGATCACTCGCTCGCAAGGTACCATCATGTGGAGGTCAAAGACGCACAGATGAAGTCATTTGGCACCTTCTCCGTAACTTTGTCATAGTTGGGTAACATTTTACATTTTTGTGGATACTTAAACCCAATAAAGAAGAACAGTCTAAATCTTTAAGGATCCATGAACTAGGTAAGTGGCGTGGTCTGGACGGTATGCCTCCAAGCACTTGCCTTGACTGCCAGATCAGTTCTCTTCATTTATGTGGAGACAGGTACTAGTAACACTGTGCAGACTCGTTGGGGCCGGGCCGGGGTGAGTGTCTTCACTCACCTTCTATCGAATATTGCTGCCACGGAGTTTTATTCCATCGCCACAGCAGGAGCACCTGCTTCCACCCTGGTGCAACTTCTTGCTCTGCCTTCGACGGTGTCTACCAGCACGCTGCTGCTGCTATTGGGAGCATCGGCAACGGTCGCTGACGGGGCCTCCGCTTGCTCCACACTGTTCCTTCCGATTTTCCTTCATTGTTGGAGGACCCGTCATGTTTTCCCGGAGCGGAAGCTACGCCGAAGCTGCTTGTGGTTGCTGGGCTTGTGCACATGCACCCAGGGACTCTTCTTCGTGTTGCTGCTGAGCTGCACAGCTTACGTGCGCTTGATCCAGGATGGCTATTTCATGGCAGGATCCTTCTTCTTGCCTTGTTCCGTAGCCGCGAGTGAAGCTCTCTTTGTGGCGGCATCGCGCGAGGTCTATTGCAGATTTGCGTGGCCCCATCGAACTGGAGGGACCGGAGCTGTGCCTGGGGATCAGCTGAAGATTCCTGTAACCCTTTCGGTGGCCATGATTCACGGTGCTTTTGAGTGCATGCGTCTGGCAGCCGTGCTGGCTGGGGCGATCCTTGGAGTTTGCATAGGTTTCCGAAGTTGCGTTGAAACAGCTAGCACCCCTCTTCCGTTTCTTCATCTATGCCAAGGATCCGGAATGCCGGCCTTGAGTGGATTGTAGTCGCGGTTTCCACATACACCATCAATATACTGGTGCGCCTGGGGTGGATCCGTTTCGCGCTATTCAGTGCGGTGCAAGCCACATGTGGCCATCGAGTCGCGCTGCGCTTCTTCGGTGTTTCTTCCTGGACAAAGCTTCACGATGAGATCAAGGTTTATTTAGGCTACTTCAGGTTTATTCCCGTTCTAGCGTTGGTGGCTGCCAGGGCCATGGTGCACGGTTTACAACCGTTTCTAGGTAGAGCTTTGGGACATTTTATATTTTCCCTTATTGGGCTAAAGAGGATCTTATTTACTAATATTTTTTAAAGGCTTTACACCCTAAACCCTAAACCCTAAACCCCTAAACCCTAAACCCTAATATTTTTCAAAGGCTTTAAAAGCCCCACCTAGGTTTGATCAGCCTCAGACGCCTGGCTTCAGTCTCTCGGCCTCTTCTGCGACTAGGATGCCCAGTAGTACCCTTATTCCCTTTTTGTAGTCCTAGGTTCCTTATAAAGTTACCCAATACCAAAAAGAGAGGCCTTTTTATTCTTAGGTTACTGAGTATCCTAGGCGATCTTTGGGTTCCTCCTGACGGAGATCCTGGAAGACGTGACCGTGGTTTTGCAGGTGTTTCCCGAAAGCCCCACGACTGTGGCAATGCAACAGGAGCCGCCGTGCTTCATGCATCCGAGATCCTTTGTCATAGTTCGGTAACATTTTAAGGGATCTTTAGGGTTCTTTTAAAGATTTTTAAAGGAATCTATAGGGTTCCTTAAAAGGGATCTATAGGGTTGGATAACATTTTACATTTTTATGGGTACTTAAACCGCAATAAGGAAATCCTCTCCCAACCGTGAACTTTTTACGTGTACTTAAAACCTAATAAGGAATATAAGTGTACATTTTTTAATCCTATCCCAACCATGAGCTAGGATCGCTGGCAGCTTTCCAGCAGCAGCTCAGGCCATCCCACAGCCCCAAACTCTTTCAGCCAGGGCCGGGGTTTGAGGGTTTGGGGGTTTAGGGTTTAGGGGTTTAGGGTTTAGGGGTTTAGGGGTTTAGGGTTTAGGGTTTATTTGATTACCATATAATCGGGATCTATGTAAATATTATGTTTCGGTATTGTAGTAACTTAAGTTCAATCAATCCCAAGCTCTTTCAGCCAGGGCCGGGGTTCAGGGTTTAGGGGTCCACCCACCTGCAACTCAATCCCAGTGAGCTCAAGGGTGGGAAAACGAGAGCCGGGAACTTGGGTTCTTGTTAAGGGGTTTAATTTAAGTTACCATCCTAAAGAAGCCGCATTCTTTACAAAAGACCCCTATTAATATTATAGTAGCTTAAACTCCCTTAACAGGAACCCCCTAAACGCTAAACCCTAAACCCTGATAAGCCCGCCCCTAGTATAGTAGCTTAAACTAAATCCCTTAACAAAACCCCCTAAACCCTAAACCCTGAAAAACCCGCCCCTATTATAGTAGCTTAAACTAGATCCCTCAACAGGAATCCCTAAACCGCAGGCCACCAGGCGAGTTCAGTCACATCGCCTGGAGCGACGCCAAGCCCAAGGCCTGCACAGAGCGCCCCGGGCTCTGATACTCTTCAAACCCTGAACCCTAAACCATAGTAGTAGTAGTAGTAGTAGTAGTAGTAGTAGTAGTAGTAGTAGTAGTAGTAGTAGTAGTAGTAGTAGTAGTAGTAGTAGGAGTAGTAGTAGTAGTAGTAGTAGTAGTAGTAGTAGTAGTAGTAGTAGTAGTAGTAGTAGTAGTAGTAGTAGTAGTAGTAGTAGTAGTGAAGTCTTTTCAATTCTCTGGGACATCAGAGCTCCAAGGATTGTGCTTGGCACGAGCAGCGACGCCTGGGGGAAATTCCGGAGGAGGCTTGGCGAGAAGGGCAGGCTTGTGCCGTCTCCCTCACTGCACGGACTAAGAGAGCTGCCCTTCATCATCCAGTGTGCCACCGCGGGTGCCGTGTGCAACATCATGCTTATGTTGCTGGGCGCTTTGTTGGGGGACGGATACCTGCGCGGCTTGCATCCCACGCCTTGTGGCACTGAGAGTCTTCTCCAGAACTGGATAGTTTGGACCGTGCCATTATCATGCTAGCAGCTCGCCGCTGTCAGCTCTTTGCACTTATGCCCGTCGGTCGCAGATCTCGCAAAGTCTGAGACAGTCTGCTGGGATCTGCTGGGTGCTCTGGGTACATCCCACTCCCCTGTGGCTTCGAATCTTTTTTTAGGGCAGGAGATGCGTGTCAAACTGCCCGCACCATGCCGGCAGCCGCTTGCTCTTCGCATCTCTGCTGAGGACCCTTGCATTACTATCATAGGAGGCCACAAGGGGTTTTAGCCTATGGGAGTTTAGTAGGGATTAGGGTTCCCAGAATAGGGGTTCATATTAAGGAATCCCTACCCCAAGAATCTTAAACCCCCCTTTTGGCCTCCCATGACACCAGAGACAGGGCCTGGTTGTAAAGAGGCCAAACCCAGAGATTCCAATATCCCTTAATTAAGGAATATTCCTTAAATCATATCAGGGGTCCTCTTATAATTTAAGGAATATTCCTGAATTAAGGGATATTGGAGTCTCTGGGAACTCAGACGACTTCTTTGCACGTGCCGCGAAGCTGGGATCCTCTTTTAGTGAGATGAGAGTTTCCCAAAAATAGGGGTACCTTTTTTTGGGGTCCTTATTATCGGATCCTTCTATCTGGGGTACTATTATTAGGGTCCCCTATTTTCGGAAACTCCCAGATCGTTTCGCTGCCCCGCCTTGCCCGGCATCGTGCATGATTGAATCATTATAGGATCCTTAAGGGAGGGTGGTTCAAGGGGGGAGGGTATAAGGAATCCTTAGGGGACTGTAAGGGAACCTTAGGGAGTACTAGGGAGAATTAGGGATCACTAGGCTATATACCCCCCTTGGACCCCCCTCCCTTAAGGATACTACAAAATCATGCGCGAAAGCGAGCTTGCAGAGCGAAAAAACTCGGCACCGGCGAAGTCCCACAGACCTTTGGAGAGCCTTCCCAGAGATTCCCAAAACCCCTTAAGTAAGGAAAAAAACCTCGACCTATAATCGAGACTCTAACCCTTAAGCCCAAAAACCTAAACCCTAAACCTCTAACCCCTAAACCCCAAAAACCTAAACCCTAAACTCTAACCCCTAAACCCCAAAAACCTAAACCCTAAAGTCTAAGCCCTAAGCCCCGAACGCCTTTGATGAAAGCCTAGTCCGCAGTGGAGGATCAAGGGCCCCAGTCAGCTACCACAGGGCTTGGCTTTCGGGGCTTGGGGTTAAGGGTTCAGGGTTTAGGATTAAGGGTTTAGGGTGAAGGGTTAAGGGTTAAGGGTTTAGGATTATATAATTATAAGGGTTTAGGGTGAAGGGTAAAAGGGTTAAAGTTTGGGGTTTAGGGTTTACGCAACCTGCTTCCCTCGCTGATGCACCGAGGTGGGGTGGTGTGCTTCCAGCTTCTTCTGTGCGTCGGAGCCTTGAATCCCAGATGCAAGCCTCCACCCGACGCCCCCCCAAGCCAGCTTTGAGTTTCCTTCAGCTGCACAAGGAAACCCTGCCACCCGAAAGTCTCAAACCGCAGCTGGAGCCGTACGCATCAGTTCCTCCGCCAGTGCGTCCAACTCCAGCTGGTTCCGCAGGCGGAAGACGCAGTAGAACATCGCGTTCACCCGCACGGCGCTGCTCATGAGCCGGCTGCTCCTGCGTCGACACCCACGCACTGCAAAAATACTGCCTGCCGGGGATGAAGTGGGTGTCCAGGATGCCGTCGCCCGTCTTGGTATGGGGGGTTTAGGGGTTTAGGGGTTTAGGGCTTAGGGGTTATGGGGGTTATGGGGTGTCGGGTTTAGAGGTTTAGGGTTTGGATGTGTGCGTTTATGACACGAAGCTCTTGAACATCATTTCTGTCACAGCTTGGCAGTTACATCAAGCCGAAGCAATTGTGCGTCCATGTTATCATGCTTTCGCGGCCCAAGTGGATAGCTTTCGGTACATGACCAAGTTTCCCAGCAAGACGTTTTTAGCGGGAATGTTTCTTTACCAACCCGTACCATGCTACAATCTGGTTCACCGCCGCAAGGGCTTTTCTAACAGATATCATGCGTCATGTGGAAGAACGAAAAGCAGCAGACAAATGCAGGGTAGGAGAAAGATGAAGAGGCGCATGCTTGTACCCTCGGTGCGGCACCCAGCAGCGTCGGGTTTAGGGTTTAGGGGTTTAGGGTTTAGGGGGTGCGCGACAGTGCTTACCGTGGTGGCGTTGGGTTTACTGATCGAAGTCGACAGCCCTTGTGTCTTGTGGTCATGCTTTCGCAATTCACTTGCAACGTTCCCATCTGTTCTCAGTTCAGGTATTCGTCATTCCTTCATGCGTGTTTCGTTTCCAATAACGCACTGTTGGGCAAAAGTTTGCACCATTGAAACAGTCTGCTGCCCATCGAGACTACGAGACCATCACACCGTAATATGACACCATGACTACAATTTCGCTACGACACGACCCCACTCTCATGCGATCGTCATCACCCCAAATCCTGCCCCAAAACCTTAGCCCCTGACCGCAAACAGACGGGTTGAGGGTTCAGGATGGGTTTACTTGGAGGTTCATGGGTAGTTAAAAGTAGGGTTATAAGTAGGGTAACTGTACTTATAACACATATTAGAATACTTATAACCTCACTTATAACTACCCATGAACCTCCAAGTAGGGTTTCCCCTTGTGGCGTAGCCGCCTGGTGTCTCCCCACCCAAGCCCCCATATCGTAAATCCTAAACCCAGACTCCTAAGCCCTAAACCCTGATTTCGAAAAATCCAACCCCAAACCCTAAACCCTAAACCCCCGAAGCCCTGAACCCTACACACAAAAGCTTAAACCCTAAACCAACATAAGGGAGTTTCCGAAAATAGGGGATCCTAATATAGTGCCCTGAATAGTAGGATCCTTAGTATAAGGACCCCAAAATAAGGAGCCCCTATGTGTCGGAATCTCCCATAAACACCCCACGAAATGCAGCGCTGCCGAAAGGCTCCCGCAGAAATCGCAGCACCCGGACATGAGCAGCAAGGTACGTGTCCAGAGAGCCCAATACCCCGTGTTAAGGAATATACTTTAAATCATAATATGCAGCCCCTAATGATTTAAGGTATATTCCTTAATTAAGGGATATAGGGCTTTCTGGGTACGGGTTCCTGTAAGGGTTCCCTAGGGAGCCCCACAGCCTTTAATAAAAGGAGAATCGATGAAATATCATAATATGAAACCTCCAGATAGTAGCCCTAAACCCCAAACCATTCCTAAAAGATTAAACCCCAGGTAACCATTCCCCTGAACCCTAAACCCTAAACCCTAAACCCAGATAGTAGCCCTAAGGCCTAAGCCATTCCTGAGGGATTGTGTAACCCCCCCAGTAGATGTCCTGTGGGGCTCCTAGAAGGTTTCTGTATTGAAAGGGTTCCTTACGGGTTTCTTAAAGGCCCAAAGACTCCAATACCCCTTAATTAAGGAATATTCCTTAAATCATTTTAGGGATCCCGATTATAATTTAAGGAATATTCCTTAATTCAGGGATATTGGAGTCTCTGGGAGGCTTCCTTCAAGGGCTCCTTGCAGAGATCCGTAGGGTTTATAGGGCTTAAGCGATCGCGGGACTTAGGAACTACAGTTTCTAATTATGCTTACGATAGAAGGGGCCTTTAAAAGGTACTATACGGGTCCCTTTAAAGGGATCTATAGGGGTTCTATAAAGGGGTTACGGTGGGTTTTAGGGTTTAGGGCCCCCACCCTGTAATAGTCGTATAACAGGAATACAATAGGGCCCTAATATAAGCCTTATAGTCACTATTACAGGGTGGGGGCCCCTTCTAAGGCTTACGTTCCCTGTGCATTTCACCGCAATGGAGGAGTTTGCAACCTTACTTACTAAGTCCCATGATCCTCCAAGTAGAGCGCTGGCAGTGTGTTTCACAGAGTCTTGGCCTGTTACACCCACAGTGGTCGTTGCCAGAATGGAAATTGAAGTTTCAGAAGGTAGAGTCGGACGTTAATGGCTAGAATAGACTTGTTTGTACAGTCCATGTAATTATCTAGCAACTCTGTGGGGGGATTTTTTTCAATAGTTCAGACTTCTGCGATGATAGAAATAAACTAGGGAATCTTGCTGAGAGACAAGTCTTAAGTTAGCACGCTCAGTTATGCCAACTGCCGCCCACACCAAAACAATAGTCGAACGAGTCCTTCGCATCCCGAAAACCTACGGTAAGCCCTCAACCCGAAAACGTGCAAACAAGACCAATTGCGTCGCAGGTTAGATTGAAGGGCAATGCCTGATATGTCTAAACATGTCCTGACGAGGCACCATCAAAATCGCATGCCCACGTCGCGGAATCCCAAGCGCAAAACCCTTACAAACGATAAGTCAGACTAGAGCCCTAAACCCTAGTTATTCCCTAAGCCGAACTCTAAAGAAATCGCTAGATCCAAGGTACCTGCAAAAGAGCGAAACTATTGTCTCCTTAGGACTTTAAATTTTTGTTCATAAAAACCCAAGACAATATCAACACTAGACCCTTAACCGCTTTGCCCAGGGGCCAGTTTCCACAAGCACAGCTTCAAATTGCCCGGAAACATTGCGATAGCCCAAAACCTCTAAGAATTGGGGCTTAGGGCTTAGGGTTAAACTAGGGGTTGGAATGATCAGAAATGCTACTGGTCAGCATTCCTGATAATGATCAGAGTATACTATACCCCAGAGCCCTAATCTAATCACTGAGCCTCACATATTCACCAAGGAGAAGCAGGATTTAGGATACAGTCAAAGTGAATGTGAAGTCTTGGTCACCCGGTAAACCCTGCAAGCATACCCGACATCTTGAAGTAGCAGCGATGTGGTGTAGGTCAGCCCGAAAGCCAAACCGTAAATGATGGGTTGCTTAGGTTCCTTTAACAGGGTACTATAAGGCTTCCTTTAAGGGATCTATAGGGGTTCTCTAAAGGGGTATAAACCGTAAGCCTTCAAACCCGAACCAAAAGACCCTCAGCCTGACAGCCTTTAACTCGAAGCCGCAAGCCTCAAAACCCTCGAACCAAAGCGTGAAGCCTTAGAACCACCGTCAAGAGCCCCGAAACCCTAAACCCTAAAATCCTAAATCCTAAAACCCTAAACCCTGAAACCCTACAACCCTAAACCCCAAAGCCCTAAACCCTAAACCCTAAGCCCCTACATCCCTAAAGACTCTCAAACCGGCACAGGTGGAGCCGATCCTGCGAACGATGCGTCCCTGGAGTCCTCCTGGGATGAGGGTCTCCGTCGCGACGGGCGTTTTGAGAGCCAACGTCTTGGTGGTTTAGGGTTTAGGGTTTAGGTTAGGGTTTAGGGTTTAGGTTAGGGTTTAGGGTCTAGGGTTTAGGGTTTAGGGTTTGGGGTTTGGGGTTTAGGGTTTAGGGTTGTGTGAGGTGCCATGAAACGGTTTCAGTGTTTGGGAGTTGGGAGTTCGGTGTTGCAAGGTCCCAGGAAGCGGTTATGGGCCGCTTCAGGGCCTAGAGGTTGGGAGTTGATCAGGGTTCGGGTCAAGTGATCTTGTTAAGGGAGCATGGTTCCCATGAGGCGCCGCAGTTCGGTTCGTACGGTTACCTTGCATTTATCCCGAAGACAGCACCAAGGTGAATTTGATGCGAGGCAGTCGGTGGCATCGGATTTAGAAACTGAGGCAGATCTGCAAGAAATCAAAGCAAAGACCATGTACCGGATGGTGGAAGATATAACGCTGGGCTCTGGCTCCCGGCACAAGGTCTTGTACCTTTCGAACAAACAAGCTCGACTGTTGGCCCACACGCCAGGATCTATGAAGCGCGTTTTAGAAGCCTTTGAAATACCAACCCCCAAGCTGGTAATCAGGCTCATACAGTCCACCGGCGGTGTTGACTGGACGAGATCACGGCTTCGGGCCGGCATCAATTTGCAATATCCGTATCCAGGTGGTGAAGAGGAAGCTTTGCAAGCAGAGCGGAATTTATATCACTTTATGGAGGAAGTCCTACTTCCTCTTGCAGCTGAGACGAATGCTCTAATCCTTGTGCAGGCCACAGTGGGAAGCTGCATGTTGACATCGGCTCTTGGACAGGCTCTTGACCTTCATCGCAACCGGTTTGGTGACAAACCCCCCTTTGCCGTCACGGCCTTGACTTCTGACTTTGACAAGCTCTACAACAATCAGAACCCTTCGGCAAAATGGTGGGACTTTGCAAAAGCTGTTAGCAGCTGGAGACGGAGGCACCGAGGGATTCTACAAGACTTCTTCACGCGGCATCCTGGCAGAGACTCTATCGCATACGACATGACCGACGCCTTCTCTCAATACATCGTGTGCGATGGAGTCAACGAGCATGATGGCCGAATGGATTTCAATCCTTTTACAGCTTTCAACTCTTCCCTTCTGCAGCACTTGATGCAACAGGTGCCCTGCATTGCCATCAGAACTGGGCACACAGACCTTCTCGAAGGTGATGAAGCGTCGCTGGGGAACATCGTTGCGTGCCTTGAAAGCGGGTGCCCGACCATAATGGTAAACCTGCGTGCATGGCCGAATAGTCTGATGCTGCCAGATGTGCAACAAACGTACCAGGAGTTCTTGGACACCCTAGGCGGACGATGGGATTATCTTGATTGCATGGTTATCTGCTTGATTCTTTGTCACGGTTGGGTAACATTTTACATGTTTATTGGTACTTAAACCCAATAAGGAATAAAAATGTACATTTTTAATCCTATCCCAACCATGATCGAGGATTATGCGGGCCTGGGAGAATTCCCGGAAGGCACTAGAGCAGAAACTGGTGGAGCAACAAGTGCCTTCAGTTCGCAGAACCAGACAATCTGCAGAAGACTTGAGCATGATTCTTTGTCATGGTTGGGTAACATTTTATATTTTTACCGGTACTTAAATCCAATAAGGAATGAAAATGTACATGTTTAATCCTATCCCAACCATGAGCTAGGATTGCTGTGATGGCTGAAGCCCCCTTCCGCAACCAGCTGGCGGAGTTGCTGCAGTGGTACAGCCGCTTGTTTACCGAGGCGCAGGACGAGGCCGTTGGGAGTTCTGGCGAGCAACGACTCAGCGTGGACCGGCAACATCAGCGTGCGCTGCAGATGTCGGCTGTTATAAGAAACGAGCATCTACATGTTGCAGATGCCTTCGACATTGAGGGTATTTGGCGACTCATTCGAGAGCTGGTTCGTCTTGATCGGTTGCCTAAGCAGGAGGAGCCTGAGGGCATAGACTTGCTGGAGCAGGCATGGTGTGAGTACGATGCGAAGAACTACCTGGCAGGAGTGTACAAAGTCTACAGCAAGTTCAGCTATGTTGGCCTTCTGCTACTCAGTGCTCTCACCGTCGCACTCACGGTTCTTCCCGACGAGTGGTTCGGCTCAATCCAGGTCGATGAGCAGGGGATCGTCTTCATCGTAACCCTCATGGCCGGCGCAGCTACGACTCTGACGACGATCCCTGGGCCCATATGTCGCCCTAAACCCTACACCCCTAAACCCCTAAACCCCTGAACCCTAAACCCCTAAACCCTAAACCCTAATCCCTAAACCCTAAACCGTGGAGACATGTTGGGCAGTGGTTTCTGGTTTGGGTGCGCGACTTCTGAGCCTAAACTCTAAACGCTAAACCCTTGATGAACCCAGGATCATGAACCCCACTCAGCGGTGGAGGGTGCTTCGAAGCAAGTCTGCATTTCTTCTGAGCACCATCTGGCGCTACAGAACTCGCACCAAAGAGTTTAGTAGTTGGAATGCTGGACAGAAGCCTCGGCAAACTTTTTGCCAGCGTTTCATCCAGTGGAAGGCCGAGTTAGCAGAGGGGACAAACCTGCTGGAGAGTACCATGGAGAAAGCCTACCCGGCGTGGGTCTATAAGCACCTCCGCTCCATCACTTCAAAGGGTCATGCCAGCGCCGCAGATGCTGACGATGACGACTTTTACACGCCAGTTCCACCAGGCAAGTATGTCCTCTGCAGGCTACAGCCTGCCATAGACTTCTATCAGTCCCGAATCCCGTGGATGGCGCGCAGACGGCGTTTGCTGCAGGTCTGCGTCATTGCTTGCTCACTGTGCTCTTCAATTTTGAGTCACTTCAAGCAAGGTACCTGGATACCGCTGGTCGCTAGCTTGTACAGTTCGCTTTGCGCCTGGCAGGAGTTTGCAGGGCTGGACCAGAAGCTGCGCAGATATACGGAGGCCGTACAAGCTCTCAAAGGCGTTCTTTCCTGGTGGGTTAGCTTGACGGAGGTGGAACGGGCCTCGCCTGTGTGCATTAATCGCTTGGTGGAAAGCGTCGAAGAGTCTCAGCGAAGAGAGCATCCGTTTTTTTGTTTGGTTGTTGGGAGGTTAGGAACAACACTAAGACACTGAGCAACGACAGCAATCCCTAAACCCTAAATCCCTGACCCTTACAACCCCAAACCCCGAAATGCCAGACCCCTAAACCCGGCAAAAAAACCCTCATAGTAAGTTTTTAGATCCCTTTAACGGAACCCACTAAACCCTACCCCCTAAACCCTAAACCCTACAGAAGGATGCGCTCACACGTGAAGTTGGCATCTGGGCTTCGACCTTAGCAACTGCAGAGCAGAAGGCCTGATGGGGTCCCTTAAAGTAAAGGGTTCCTTTAAAGGAATCTTGAAGGGGTTTTAGGGTTCCTTTAAAGGAATCTTGAAGGGGTTTTAGGGTTCCTTTAAAGGAATCTTTTGGGGGTTGTAAGGTTTATTTAAAGGAATCTATAAGGGGTTTTAGGGTTTATTTAAGGGGAATCTATAAGGGGTCTCAGGGCTTAGGGTTGAGCTCAGGGTTTAGGCAATTAGGTGTCTGTGGGTTTAGGGAGTTAGGTAGTTGGGCTTTAGGGTGTAGGCCCTGAACCCTAAACCCTAAACCCCAAATCCAGGCATCCCAGGGACCTGAAGAAAAGAAGGAGCCGAAGAAGAAAGATTCTGAATAGGCCGAAGGACGCATCGGAGCTGCTTGTCGGAGACGATGTGGCTCCCGAGCGCGTTGTAGATTCTGTACAGAAGTAAACCTTAAACCCTCAACCCCTAAACCCCTAAACCGTAAACCCTAAACCCCTAAACCCTAAACCCCTAAACCCTAAACCATAAACCCTAAACCCTAAAAAGCAGTGTTAATGAGGTTTCCCTCCACTGCAAAACTGCAGTCTGAGAGGTTGTGCGGCCTAGGCGACTGGCTAAAAAGAACAGAGGGGTTTGCGGTTGAGGGCTTGGGGTTTATTACTATTTGCTTAAGAACCCCCAAAAAATAAAAAATATATTCCTTATGGGGGAAATATAGGGATTCTTATTTTTATTTTTTGGGGGGTTCTTAAGCAAATAGTAGTTTAGGGTTTAGCAAGAGTTCAGGGTTTATAGGGAACATGCCAACACTTGCAGAATGCAGTCTCGTGCCATTTCATTTTGTTGAGTGAGAGTTGCCTGCAGCTTGATCCTTGCAAGTGCCTGTGACCCTGAAGCCTAAACGCTAAACTAAGCCCTCAACACGTCTGCCTGAACAGGCTTTCCGACTAATGGTTGCCCCGGCAGACGGGAAAGAGGGGTCAAACAAAAGCTAGGCCCTCAACCCTAAACCCTCAACCCCTGAAGCAACCCTAAACCCTAAACCCCTAAAGCAGCCCTAAACCCTAAACCCCTAAAGCAACCCTAAACCCTAAACCCCTAAAGCAGCCCTAACCCTAAACCCCCTAAAGGAACCCTAAACACCTAAAGGAACCCTACTTAGAGGATCATGGGACTTAGTAAGGAGGTTATAATCGGGGTTATAAGTCCCCTAAGTGGGGCTATCCTAATTATGACCTACTTATAACCTTACTAAGTCCCATGAGCCTTCAAGTAAACCCTAAACCCCTAAAGGAACCCTAAACCCTTAAAGGAGCCCTAAACCCTAAACCCCTAAAGGAACCCTAAACCCTTAAAGGAGCCCTAAACCCTAAACCCCTAAAGGAACCCTAAACCCTTAAAGGAGCCCTAAACCCTAAACCCCTAAAGGAACCCTAAACCCTTAAAGGAGCCCTAAACCCTAAACCCCTAAAGGAACCCTAAACCCTTAAAGGAGCCCTAAACCCTAAACCCCTAAAGGAACCCTAAACCCTTAAAGGAGCCCTAAACCCTAAACCCCTAAAGGAACCCTAAAACCCAGCGAGTTCGGGCCGAGGCTGGGTTTGTAGTGTTTGCGGTTCATACGTTACCCCATAATATCAAGGGGGAAAAGGAGGGACCCTTAATGGGTCCCTTTAAAGGGATCTATAGGGATGCTATAAGGGTATAGGGTTTAGGGTTTAGGGTTTAGAGGTTTGGGGGTTTAGGGGGTTTAGGGGGTTTAGGGGAAAAGGAGGGACCCTAAAATGGGGACCCCTACCCTATAATGGGCTATATAATGGGTATATAATGGCTATGGTATGGGTATATACCTAGGGGTCCTGATTAGGGGTCCCTCCTTTTACCCTTTGATAATAGGGAGTATACCATAAGTCCCAGAGTCTAGGGTGCTTAAGGTAATGCAGGGACTTATGTCATCAACCGTAGGGGGTGTAGGGTTCGTAGGTCTATCCGGGTTTAGTTCAGGGTTGGGGTGTAGGGTTCATAGGTTTATCCGGGTTTTAGTTCAGGGTTTGTTGTTGGTTATTCTGCGATCTGCCACTGGTTGCTCTTGGTCTCGGCCGGCGGTTTTGTGCCCAAGAGTCATGTCATATGCGTCTCATGTCAAGAGTTCACGGTTCACGGTTGAGGGTTTAGGGCATGCGAGCTGACGACACTGCCGCTGTAAATAAGCAAACCGCTTGAGCGCTCCAAGTCGCGGAGTCCGTGGACGCCCTTAAGCTTTAGGTAGGTGCTTTTGGAAACCTCAGGGTTATGCGGGGCTTCTACAGGATTGTTTTCTGGGGTCTGCCTGACTCAAATTCAGAATCCGCGCGATGCCGCCGAAGAAAGCTCAGGCCGGGTTCGTGAGTTGTAGTATCCTTAAGGGAGGGGGGTCCAAGGGGGGTATATAGCCTAGTGATCCCTAATTCTCCCTAGTACTCCCTAAGGTTCCCTGACAGTCCCCTAAGGATTCCTTATACCCTCCCCCCTTGAACCACCCTCCCTTAAGGATCCTATAGTACATGCCTCTGCCTCTTCTGAACAGCCTAGGCTTCATATCTTTGGGATTGTTGCTGCTCTACGGTCGAGAGTTTAGGGCTAAAGGGTTTAGGGTTTAGGGCCTCGCGTTTAGGGTTTAGGGTTTAGGGGTCTTCTTACCCATGCTAGCATGAGCATTGTCATTCGGTGAATATTATACCAAAATTATAGTAAGGAACCCCCAAAATAGTATAGGTAATAGTACTTAAGTATTGTTTAGAAGCTGCCCCCACCCTGTAATAGTGACTATAAGGATTATATTAGGGCCCTATTATATTCCTATTATACCGCTATTACAGGGTGGGGGCAGCTTCTAAAGTCATTCGTTGAGCCACAATCTTTGAAAGCCAGGCGAAGACGAAGGCTGCGGCGAAGAAGGCAGATGATCCTAAACCCTAAACCCTAAATCCTAAACCCAAACCCCTAAACCCTAAACCCTGAACCCTAAACCCCTATACCCCTAAACCCCTAAACCCCTAAACCCCTAAACCCCAAACCCTAAACCCTCAATCCTTAAACCCTAAATCCTAAACCCTAAAACCTGAAGGGCAAGCTTCAGTATCAGATATTCGAAGGATTTTTCCGTTAATATGATGCTTATACTTGATGAGAGTCGAGGACCTTGAATATCATTCACCAGGCTAACGACGATGCAGCTTCTAATCTCGCGGTTGTCATTGCCACGTTTACAGTTTGTCTTGCCGGCTTTCTTTACGGCTCCAGTTTTTGGCACCATCCAGAGCCTAACCCCCCAACCCAAAACCCCAAAGCCCCTAAACTCTCAATTTTAAGTCCTACATCCTAAACCCTGCAAGCCCTACACCCTAAATCCTACAACCCAAACATTACTCCCTCTGCCTTAGCTTCTCTGCACTTTCACGCAGCTGCTTGGGAGTTGCCGCGCCCCCGTAGCAGCCCGTGTTGGGATGAACGCCTTTAACTCTACTTGCAGGTTCGTGGGTAGTTACAAGTGGGGTTATAAGTCCCCTAGTATAGCTACAGTCAGCCTGCTTATAGCCCCAGTTATAACTACCCACGAACCTCCAAGTGACATTCAGCCCTACCTGTGGGTTTCAGGATGTATGTTTTGAGGGCTGCAGGCAAAGGCACTCATGACGGAAGGTTGGACGTTGCCAGAGAGGGCCCACTACTCCTACCCAGCAATCAGGGTATGTAGCTCAAGCTGTAGAGGACCTGCAAATAACCAGTCAAATTATGCTCGCCCTAGGCCCTAAACCCTAAACACCGAACTGAGTCACATTCCTTAACCAACTACTTGGAGGTTCATGGGTAGTTACGCGTGGGGTTTTAAGTCCCCTAAGATGGGTTATGAGCATACTTAACCTACCTATATCCCTAGTTATAAAACACCCATGAACCTCCAAGTAAATGGTAACTCTAAGTATTCTTCCTTAATGGATTACATGGTGGTATTGAGATCTCCCGTTCCAGGCCGCAGGGAAGCGCGGCCCACCTGGCAGCCAGGACGGAGACCCTCAGGGTTTCAGCAGGGTCTGCTTGGAGCTGGTGGGTATAAGTGGGGTTATAAGTCCCCTTATGTGGGTTATAAGTATAGTCACCCTACGTCGCTACGTAAAACCCCACCACTAGCTACTCATGAAACTTCAAGCAGCACTGAGAGATGCTGTGATTCTGCTTGTGCTTGTTACCATGCATACCAGGGGTCTAGAAGGAGCACACTAGCAGCAGCACTGGCACTAGCAGCAAACACGGTCGGCACAATGATAGTGTCAATGGTGGAAGTGCTGGTCATGGTAATATGATGCTCATGGTCAGGGCACCGCTGTTGTTTTTGGAGACTGAAGCTACGTTCGTGAGGCCTAGCATCAGTACTTGGATAAGCAAGAGCAATAGCAAGCAAGAGTGATGCGTTGCCTAGCTGTAATGGTGATCGTAGTTCACGAGCAAGGCATTCCTAGTGTGACCTGACGCTACCAGCGCTGTCATTTTTGTCAATGTCGTCGTTACTGTCGTCTTCGTAGGAACTAGTTTTGTTGTAGATACTGCATCTCAGGAGAAGCACACAGAGTGGTTGCAGCAGCTCTAAACGCCAAACCCTATACCCTAAACCCTAAGCCCTATACCCTAAACCCTAAACCGTAAACCCTAAACCCTAAATCCCTAAACCCTACACCCTAAATCCCTAAACCCTATACCCTAAACCCTAAACGCTAAACTAGCGAAGTAGAGACCCCTCCCTGCTGCAAAAGCTCGGCGCCTGCACAGGACGAAAACTCAACGACAAGCCCGCCGTCGCGGCCATAGTTGGGAGTTAGGATTAGGGGGACCCTTGCGGATATAGACCCTTCAAGGGGTCTCCCTAATAATACTACCGAAAAGTAGATGGGTTCATAATTACCTATGCACCAAAATTAAAGTATACTGGGCCCCAAACCCCTATTCTAATTACTAAGGCGCCTACACTGGGGGCCCTAATAGTTTCAACAGGGCTCCTTTAATGATTTCTTTAAAAGGATTCTTTCGGGGCAGTAGGGACCCGTCATAGCGTAATCGGGACACCGGATACTACTACCAATTCAGCCCGCAAGAGAAGAGAACCCCAAGAAAGCCCGAGGTTCAAGTAACTCCGGGTTGTGAGCTTTACCGCTTGGGGCGGAGACTTTCTAGGGTTCAGGATATAGGGTTTAGGATTCAGGGTTTAGGGTTCAGGATGCGGGGTTTGGGATCTAGCGTGTAGGATTTAGGCTTCAGGGCGGCTTTCGATGTTTTGATGTGGCGTCTAAGATCAAGACCTTGGTTTAGGGTCGACTGGGGGATCGTTGTTGGTACA